CACTTCAGTTATTTAGGGAAAGCCCTCCAAAGACAGCTGACAGCTACAGCTACAGCTACAGCTACAGCTACAGCTACAGCTACAGCTACAGCTACAGCTACAGCTACAGCTACAGCTACAGCTACAGCTACAAAGGATGCGTTTAGCCTAACGAAAAAACTTTACATACACTGGACATAGGACTAAAATTAGTTGAGAAAATCACTCAACATGCCATTCCAAGACCATTTCAAGAAGTATTGGACATAAGACGAAATTATTTTGAAAAACCATTCAGACTCAGTCGAAACTTATAACCATATTGAGGACACACAAAGTTCAATTAGCACTTGATTAGCATAAAGTAATACCATAAGAAGACACATGACAAGACCCCTTTCTTTTTAAGTGTTTAAAAGTTATCCTTCGTCTTAGGTTTTGTTGTTAAAACCTCAAACTGAGCGACAACTATTTAATTAGGAGTTCAGATGTTTTATAGAAAAAATTTAAATAACGTTATACATTTCGTGGCTCAGTTGCCCGCAGAGATTCATGAATTCAAAAGAGTAATTGTTGATCGGAGTCGTCAACTAAACCGCTTGAACGAAATATGGCCGAGTACCTCGATTCTAAGTCTCTCGTGAGGCACAAAATATTAGGGGAAAAGTAGAGAGTCTGGCAATTTGATTTTACCTCACCACTAAGGGTTACCGAGGAACTCAAAAGTATCGTATTAGGTAAAATTGAGTTCGTTCCTCAATCCTTAAAATGTTTCTCGCTAAAATCTACTGAAAATACTTGAAACAGCCCGTGTATGTCAGCATTCCATTCTCAGAAATCCTGATTTCATTGAGGGAAAGGAAGGGAAAAGCTGGGGACGTACACAGGAGATTCAGTTCACTGAGACAGAGCGACAAAGAACTTCTAAAGTGATGTTGTAGGAATTCGGTTGTGGTAATGTATCCATATCGTTGTCATCAAATCAAATTGCCAAAACAGAAAAAAAAACTGTACTTGTGACACGCATATTGGAACAATCCATCCAGAAAAAAAATAGAAAAACATGTTTATGCTGTCTTTGATCATGACCAGAGAAGCAGAAACTAGGAAAAAATCCAAGAGTAGTCTCTTACTTAAAAGTTGTAACCAAGATATACTCATATTGATATAGTTAAATAAAACGATAAGGAAGGATGAAAATACTAGTTGGCCAATGCTTTAGCAAAATAGGAAGTGCAACGTCCTAACGATATATAAGATATAATTTTGACTATGTCAAACCAGTAAGTATATTGTAGCGTTTAGAGTCTTATTACATGTCAGCTACTGTTATTAGATTGGGTAGAAGTACCTCAAAATTGTATTGCCTAGTTTTAATAGGAAAAAATGAAACAAAACGAACAAAAACAAAAAAACAGAAAAACCAAAGAAAAAACAAAATAATTTAATGAAAACAACGATAACAGCAAAGCAAAACAGTCTGTAAAGTAAGCTCATTATGAGATACCATAGAAACCAAAACTTAGAGCCTTTTTCCAAACATAGGAGTGAAGCAATTGTCTTGGTAGTTCTTTAGTATAACATATCGTAAAGCATCAAGTAGAGTATCAAGAGAAAATAATGGAGCCCATTATTTTGTCTTATCAGTATTCAAACAATTTTAAGATGCGAAACAGAAAATGTTTAAAAGGAAAGTTAAATTGACTTTTATACATTAAAATAACTCGATATTAAAATCAAAAAAGCACAAGCAGGCTGGCATTTTTCTTTAAAATCTCCGACAAAAGACTTCCTTTTCCGCATATTAATATACAAAATATTTTAGACGATTAAAAGCTAGAGGATATAAAGAAAGTACATGTTAAACAAATTCCGATAAAAAAAAAACAAGAATTATTTAAAAATTAAATATCAGTCTGCTCTTATTTTGATTATGTCCGCCGGACCAAAAAGTATTAGGGCCGTTTAGACGTTGTGTCTCTGCCGCGCCGAACTTAATTTGCAATTATGAATTTTGTTTGGCACGGCTGGGTTACGACGGCTGAATCACTGTCATGTCAGAGTCGTGTAGCACGGCAGAGCTTGTTGAACTTAATTGCTTTGCCAAACTTAATTAAGAAGTTTGATTCAGATACCGTACTTCTGCCGTACTTTTGTTCACTTATTCCTGAATTAAGTCTGGTACGGCAAAAGCACGAAATCTAAACTGGGCCTTACTTACTTTTGGTTATTGGTCAGTAACTTGTAGAAATACTTATCACTACTGCACCTATTTTGTAAGCGGGTATCTAATATTGTTATTTCTAGCCCCTTTTTTTATCAAATGTATTTTACCGAATGTACTTTGGCAATAAAATGATTAAGGAACCTATACTGTTTTTTAAATGTTGAGTGAAAAGACCGAAGAACCTCGAGTTGGTAGGATCCATGGAAGTTGCATGTAAGTTACGTTTTAGTTTCTAGCATTCAATTACAGGGTCGTAATGATTATTATTTTGGTAGGGGTGCTCTTTACCGGCTTCGTCGACATTTTCCCAGAGGAAAAAATCGAAACAAAAAAAGGCAAAACAAATTAAGAAAGATTATGAAGTAGAATTACATCCTTATCTTTTTCTTGAAAAGTCAATTGTTAATTTATTTTCAAATCGTGTGAGCTAGCAATTTCAGTGACAGAGTAACTGGTGGCAATGTGTATAAGCAGGATGTGTATCATTTCCCTTTCTTGATTATTTCTTTTATTTTTTCAAACCCCAAAAGAGATTTTGCTGTGTGCAAGTCATTATGCCATGCAACCGCAGCTGTAGTGGTTTAGAACTAAACCTTGTACTTGTAATAAACTGCCTCGTGAAAAGGATACCACGAAAGCACTAGAGAGGATAACAATTCTTAACCAGACATTGACACTGACCGCGTTTTATTTGGAGATTTTTTTAGAATATACAAAATATACACAAAATATTTCATCGAATGTTCTCAAGCTCGAGCCTTTGGAAGTGTTTTTTTTTCTCCAAACATCGTGCTGTACGTGCTAGACTTATTTGAGTTTCTAAGGTCTTAACTGCTGAAGTCGTAACTCTTAAGAAATAGAGAATAATACATGGGCGCGTGTAGATATGGAATTTCTCTTCGAGTTGAACACGAGAAGAGAAATTCCATATCTACCGAGCAACCATGTATTATTTTCTATATATATCTTGCGGTTCGTTTGAATGGTTGTCATTGAGTTTCTGAAAGAGGAACAAAAAGTATGTTGTCGATCAGGAGTTTCTGAATTGGCTCCTTGGAAAATGCACACGACCGACTTGGACTTACTGCTGTTGTACAACTGAACAACTCATCTCGATAAGAGAAACATCATCAAACAACTAAAAATATAAAAACTGATACGGCTACAAGAAGCTGTCAGAGCTTTGGTATATTTTACCGGACAAAATATTAAAGTCCTACATACTGCTTAATATCGAATGCCTTCGCCTTTCAACTACAATTAACTTCCGTTTGCCGCACTACATTTTGCAGACTCGAGGGTTAGGATTAGGGTTTTTAATTTCGTGTAAAAACAGATGTGAAGTAAGGGCTTGCTAAAGCTCGATAATTGTTTCACTTTCCCAAAGACTCTTTTATTCTGGCAAGAGACTCCTCTTCATCGACGTCTTGGCCTTTTTACGCTTGTAATCTTTGTTCATTTAAACTTCGACAATTTCGTAGTAATTGTGAGTAATGGCATACTCACAATAAGAAGTTAAAATTAATTATTTTAGTGACACGAATGACAGTTAACAACTGCCTTAAGTGTATCAACCGCAGGGGAGACAAAGGAATACTGGTGTCAAGCCTCCGTCACTTTACGAGCGATCTATTTGCGTCTTGAATCGACTGGCACAAAGCTATTTCGTTTTTTTTTTGTGTTATTTCTTTATTTTTTTTGGCATTTTACAAAACATTACTCTACTTACAATACACTACAGGACTCAGTTACAATACGTCACTTACAATAATTTACTGAGAACACACTACTAACAAAGTATAGTTTACAGTTAAGAATTTGTTCATGCATAGCGTACGTATATCGAGTTATGGATACACGCGGGAAGTTTGGAGAGCACGAAAAATGCGTAAGAGTAGCTCGAGGCGCAGCCGAGAGCAACTCTAGCTTTTTGAGTGCTCTCCAAACTTCACAAGTGCATCTATAACTCGATATACGCACAGCTAAAAGCATGAGCAAATTCTTTTATAACAGAGCGACAACAAGGATCTGCGTGAAGAAGCCTTTTATTGTGATAGAGTGCAAAATTCTCACAACGCATAAAAAATGTAAACAAACGTCCCTATTGACTGGTCAAAAACACGCCACATTTCATAGTTTGGTTTGACCGAGAAGATTTGATCCAGTTAGCCGATAACTGTGTATGAAAAGCTCAAATTTACGGGGAAAATGGAGAAAATCAAAGCCAAATGAACTCAAGTGGCACTAAAAAATGCTTTAAAAGTCAAAGACCCAGTCTTCCGGCCGACAAATTTGCGAAACGTGCAACTTGCGAGTTTTTTCGGCTTTATTTTTGTTGCTTGTTGGATCAGGACCTAAAAGGTCAATGCCGATAGAAAAATTGGGCAGTTCTTTGCTGGTTTCTTCCATATTTCAAAGAGAAGGAAAACTGCACTGCAGCTTAACAGGACGGAAACTCTGAAGCCAGGTAAAAAAAAATGCTCACGTCATCTTATTTACGCACGCCCGTGCGTAAATAAAGATTTTGTTCATAGCGGCTCAATAGGACTTATAGTGGAGCTCGCAGAGTGTAACCCCGTAATTATACAAAATAGTAGTAACCCATCAAGCCGAAAAAATTTGGATTGGAGTAGTCCAGTGGTCAGTGGTCAGCGCACTGGGCTCTGAGTCGGACGACCCGGGTTTAGGGCTGGCCGGGGCAAGGCGTTGTGCCCTTGAGACATGCGGGAAAAAATAATGCAAGCTCCGCTTTTAGGCTTGGCTAAATCTATATATTATAAGGCAAGCACGCGCGCTATGTTATACTAAACTTTATTACAGTAAGATGACTTACTCTCGATTACTTACACTACCTACACAATACTCTACATTTACATTATTTTACGACATATTACACTACTTTCAATATGTTACGGTAAATTACTTACGGTATCTTACTAATGGTATGTAGCGAAATTGTATGCTTTACAATAAAATTCGACTTCTTATGCTACTCTTCATTGTTTGGACGACACCCATCCCACAAACCGATTTCTGGCAAAAAGCTATTTCGATATACTTTGATTATCGAGTAGAACTCATAAAATGTAATTTATCACATGCGCTAGAGTGGCCAGATGAGTCAGTGTCATTGTATCACAGAATTTTCCCCGTTACATTAACTAATTCTTTTTCATTTCAAAATCTATTTAGTGAGCAATACGAATGTATCTTTGTCTTAGCAATCAACTTGTTAAAACAAGCTGCATCACTCGAGCGGTTCTGTTTTCTCAGTCTTATTCTTTTCCTGAAATAATGATTAAAGAAAAAAATTAATAAGAAGGAAAGTTAATGTGAAGTTTATTCTAGCGTAATAAGTTATTTCTGTTTGGTTATAAAACCAAACAGCGGACACCGAGCATGTTACTAGTGCACTCGTTTAAAAATACAATTGCGTCCCAAAGTGTTTAAAACTGGAAGTGACTCACCGTTGGTGTTTTTTTACGGAACCGCTTTATCGCAGTTTGTAGATTCTGTAATGTATTAGTGACCTCCATCAGCTTGCATTGTAACTCTTCTGGAGGTGGATGATCTTCAACAGGCTCCTCTTTTTGTGTTTTTCCGTTCACATCAAAATAGCGTTGGATTAGATTTTTGATGACCATTCGACGCTATGAAACACAAAATTGAGTTTTCAGCTCAAGTCACTGCCAAGGCCTAACGACACTAATTCTGCTAGATGTTGGAATGATCAGTTTTGAACAATGTTACGCATATTCTCTCTGGTAATGATTATTGCTGGTTTTTGGATAATCTTTAACTGAGTTCTAGAACGTATTACAAGGTCGCATTGATTATTTTTCTTTACGGCGCCTTCTGATTGGTTTGCGAAACAGTTTGTTGTGCTTCAGTTCCAACCAATCAGAAGCATGTCTAAAAAAACAATCGTGACCTGATCATTGACAATTTTTGTGCTTGAGGCTGTTTACGAGTTCTCATTGGCTTGTTTCCTTCATTTCCAAATGGAACTATTTAGGTTTTAGTATTTTTCAAGTGAAAAGCGCTCGGACAGAGGCCAATTCTATCACTCACCCATTCTGGGCCTGTGTTTCATTGGAGAAAAAGTAGGCAAGGGTTACGTATAAGCTTTCAAAAGAAAAACAGAAAAAGCTCAGGAATCAATTGTAGTGTGTCTTTCAACGTACCTAATTACCGACACCTCCACAATTGTTCATAACTGTGTCATTTTAGCTCTATGTGCTAATCCTAATAAAGTTTATGAATCAAACTCACTCTCTTCTCATTTGTCTTGGTTTTTGGAGACGATTCTTGCTTCTCATTGCAGACGAGACACTTGAGAAGATAAAATTAAAAATTAAAACTCGTAGATAGGATTAATTAAATCCTAAACTCTTTCTTATTTCTTGGGAGAGGAGGAGAGAAGGAATGCCTTAAATTTTTAGATCCCACCAAATAACCATCTTTTCTCCTTACTAATTGTCATAAATTTCCTTGTAATATGAATTAGGAGAATCAAGTGTTACATTAGGACAACCTCTTCCAGCTGATCAGTTTGAGTACTCCGACTAAATATTTTCTAAATTATGAAATAAAATTACCATGAGAAGTTGCATGTTGATCACTCTTGGCTCATTTGGTTTACAAGACGAGAAACGAACATCCAAATTTTGTGCAAGTGCTTATACCGTTACTGGTCTTTACTACTTACTTCTCCCATTGAGCTGCACCGTGTAACGAGCCGGCGGATTCCTAAAGCGATCTTTCCTACCGGAAACAAGTTAAACGGGGGAGGCAGAGGACTGATCCTACTGACGTAATACATCCAAACACGGGTACGAGCAAACTTGAATTTCATATCCTTCTCCTCCTGCAAGAATACAGTCGAATGCACTTAATTGGCGCACAGAGAAAGGAAAGAACAAAGGAGGAGATCCATTAATGGCTCCTGAAGAAACTGATGCGCAAAGGGATTCGAGGAAAAGCCTCGGATATATTATTGATTTACTAATGGTAGTTGGACAGATTGATTTATTGACATTGATCAGTCTTCCAAAACCCTTTATTGTTCATACCGTCAAGTGTAGGAGAAAAACTCTGGGTTATGTTCAAGTGAAAATTACGTATTGAGAATATTTGTGAGATATTTACATTTCATTGCTAACAGAAAATCAGTCATTGTTAAAGTGTCTGAAATACTACTAATTCCAATAGTTTGGATGCTAGTCAATTGCAATTTACTCCCATTCCTTCCCCCCCCCCCATTATTTTCTAAGGTTTCCCTAACATTTCAACAGCCCTTAAATTTACCCTTAAGTAAGGAGAGAAACTGTAACTACAAGCATCTATAAAGGAACACAGTCGGATAACCCCCGCCTAATGTTAACCGGACACTTCAATCTATATCCTGGCTTGTTTACCTTAGGACCACCGCATCCCAAACAGGGCTGATAATATGCATTTATCATAAATGGAGTCTGATAATAAATGTAGACATCGAATTTATGCGGTTCACACCCAAGAAGAAACTTATAAAACCAACTCCCCTGGCTTTAAAGTACTTGACCCCTCCCGGCGGATAGAAAATGGGAATGATTTTGCTATCTGTACGTTAATACTTCAGCAGCACTCATAGATTACTGATACTTACAGAAACCTTCTTGAAAGTATTACTGAGCATCGCAATGAGGAGGTTCATTGCAACTAGCACGGAAGCGAGACTGTAAGTGGCGAAGAGCAAGTGTCCAGTGATTTCGGTGATCTCAGCGTTTTTATTCGTGTCAAAGGTTGACTTATCCGCATGTCCGAACAGGGCCCAGAATAAAGTACTTAATACTCCTTCGATTCTACGAGAGAAATTAGACAAATCTTCATAAAAATAACCTACCAAGCTCGTCCGGCAGTACAATGTGTGTGCGACCCATTTTCGCGTCGTGGAAAAGTGATTTTTAACTGATAATACTTTGCTAAGGTAAACAAAAACCAAAATGGAAGAATAACAAACCAAAACAGATTCTGGATGACTAAGGAGGGAGAGGATTTGTATGAATTTCAAATGGCGACTTTGTGAAGTAGTCCCTTCACAGTATCACTACGATGAAAATGTTTGTACTCGTGTCTCGATTTCTGTTATGTTTAGCTTGGATGCTCATTGTCCATGATTGCGCCTCAGTTTCATAAATAAGTAAGAAAATGATATCGCAGAAAAAGGCCATTTATCATCAACTAACACGCAGAAGCGCGGAAATTTTTTACAAACTGCAACTGATAATTTTCATCTCCATCGAAGCTAATCGAGAATGATACGTAGTTTATGGCCCCTATCCCTTTCCCCATTACTCACACCTTGAGAGTATTCAATAGATTAACTTTGGTATCATCGTCACCATCATTACATTTGTTACCTTTCAAAAGCATGGGTTGTGGTGCTGTTGTTTCCCATATTAGTATGTGCTGCTGTCGACTGCACGTACTGTGAGTACAGTTTTCTCATCGCAAGGGCAAACGCACATACATTGAGAGCAAAAAGGAAGAAAAACTTCATGATATCTTTGCCCATATTCATAAGCGACAAATGCAGCGGCCCTAGGGTGGAGTTCACTTGTAGAGTGTGAGATGCTTCGAAGAAAGTCAACACTACTGCAAAGGAATAGAAACTGTTGGATAACAGCAACAGGTGGTATGGGGTAAGGGATGTGGAACCCAGTAGCTCCCGGACATGCACGGTCCATTCACCCGAACCCGAGGCTATGTATGCGTAGCCCACAATCCACAGAACAGCGGCTATGATGTAACAGATGATCATGGGTATTACAGCCAGGTGCCACCATTCTGAAAAATATCGCTCTTTTCCTTGATGAAGAGCTTGTTTGATTTCTTGAACTGTCATTCCGATCACCCAGATGCCAATAATTACATCTATGTGAACAAGAAACGAGAGTATTATGGGGCTGACTCAGAGTAACAGTGAATCAGACATTAAAATATATCAGTTCTTGAAAACAAATTATTATCGCTTGTGTTTCGGTTCCTCCTCTGCAATTAAAGAAGCCTAAATGTTTTCGTTTCAGTGGAGAAGGAGAAGGAGAAGACACTTCCGCGTGTGCCCGTCTATCGCATCCCATTAAAGTTGAAACTAAAACTTCAACACTTATTGTTCATATGATAAAATGCTTATTGACTGAGTTGGGTCGGGCCGGATGGGAAAATATTTGGTTCTCGGTCATAACGCACGGACACTTGTGTGCTCGATCCGATGACCTCGAGCCAAACACTTTCCCGTCCGACCCTCTAACTTAGTCAATATCTGTCTAGTTTGGAAGATTATAAGAGGTTAAGTAACCAAAATTAACCCCTATACAAAAGTTTTAGACGAGGAGATTAAAAGAACGTGGTTGCTGGGGCTTTTATCTCCTCTCTTAACGATAACATGTCTACTTACTCAATGGCGACAATCGTAAGGACAAGTCATAATAATCTTGGAAGGCAGACAGTGTTATCAAAGCTAGGAACCAGACAACAGAGGAGGCCTGGCTCATTAGCTTGATCAAGGGTATCTCTAACTTCTTGGTAAGAGGGTTGATCGGAGTGAGCATATACACCAGCATGCATAGCGGCATAAAAAGAGTGTATAACATCGCCAGGAAGAGTTTGACAGGAAAACGCATTTGCTGCCATCCAGATGTACCCTTATATACCACTGAATTAAGCATCACTTGGCTGTAAGGGTGAGCTATGAACTGGAAAAAAAAACATTAAAAAATATATCTGAAAGTCAGAAGTCAATTTTTATGGTCATAACAACTGCAGCTACGAATGCATCAGAATATTTACCATGTGCTCGTCGAGAAAATGTGTTTGTATTTAAGAAAGGAAACTACACTTTGTGAAAACGTGCGCTACAACAGCCCACAGACAGAAGTGGTGGTTTTTACTTCTCTCCGTTCTTGTTGCGCGAGCCACATGCATCTGGCTGTTTTGTAAACGGATGACTAACCGAGCGGGAGAGCTACACAGGGGACACGAGCCTGAGGGCCATATTTCTAATTTAACTAGTTTACTATATGGCACGCGAACCAAACTTTTTCATATTGGATTTGTAAGCTTTCGAGGACTAAAATACACGACTCATGTTCGTTTCCGTGGAAACTTTCCGTATGAATGAGGAAGCTCAAAGTCAAGGATGCTTAAGGAAGGATCAAGACTACCCCGCCATTCAAAAATACCTCTCAAGTCGCTCATGCGTTGAAGCCGGAAACCTTTTCTTTCAAGTAATATTCTACAAAACTACAAAACCTCAGTGTTTTGACGAGAGACTATATTAAGCGTAATGGTCTCTTGATTTCAATTATTTCTGGCAACAAAACGTGACAGGGGTCTTTACAAGCCCTTTCACGTTTCAACAATAAGCTATTGTCTTCATTCTTCTCAGTCTTGCGTTGAGATTATACAGATATGAACAATAGCGTTTTTTCAATTTTTACTTCTGACGTTCAAGGCAATGAATTTAGTCAACAATTCCTGATAAAAAAATAATCAGACGGTGAGCTTGAGCTTCTGGAAGGTTATTTCAATGCTTATTAAAGATAGTTACAAGTCCTCAAGTTATCTATCGGAGACATTTAGTTTCTGTTTGACTATAAGTTGATAAGAGTTGATAAACTGCTTTTCAGAATTTGCCAAGGCCAATTATTTTCCTTTATCGACTTACATTTGATAACCAACTAATCGACTCACTTGCTCGCTGACGTAGCGCTACAGTTTCTTTAGTAACTAATACCTCGTCTACAATAGGTGGCTTATAAACACACGTTACAAAAAGGTTTTTTTAGAAACGGTTTCTTTAGAGACTAATAACCTTGTTTATCTTTTAGATATACCAACAACCGACATAGTCTGATCTGCTTGCTGATCCTTTTAGCATCAAAGAAAGATACAGCTCCAATTGAAGAAGATATTGCTACAATGACATTATTTGCCCGAATTACATTATTTTTTTACTCTTGCATACCTTTATATTCTGGTATTTTATGGCGAGGTTGAGCACACGCAGTTGGTGTTCCTTATTCCTCAGATACGCGTCGTCTTCCATTTTGTCCAGTTCCGGCATGTCCATGACGGCGGCGATTTCTTCGAGATTTCTGCATTCGTCCAATAACCGAATTGCAAAATTCTCACACTGAGCGGAGAGAGCTCGATAATCATCTCGAAACTCGCCTTCACGAAAAGAAAGCTTTTTCAGTTTCTTCTTCAAAACGATAGATCGAAACAATGGATCACTAGCTGAATATTCCGTATTCCTTGTACTCAAATTTTTGCTTTCGTGTAAGAACAATTGTGATATATACAAAGGGCTCGCCAATGCACGGTAAGTGTTTAATTTCACAACAGAATTTTTAAGCCTGATCATTGATTCCTCCTCGAATTGTTTGGCGAAATCTTGGCTTTTGCGGGTGAGCGGATGTTCAACTTTGTAGCCTTTACTAACAAGGAATTCGACAATTTCGTAGCTTCCGTTTAACACAGCCAAGCCGAGTGGGGTCAGAAATTCGTCAAACCGCCCTAAAGTTCTACCCGTTCCTTTGGTAGAAAACTTTTCGAGCGACTTCGCACCGAAGCTTTTACGACTTTTGTCGTAAGCCACCAAAATTCTCACACACTGCAAGGAATTGTTCCTGACAGCTTGAAACAAAGCCGAACCGATCTCAGCATTGTTTTTGAGAAGTATTTGCATGATGTCGAGATCTTGTTCCTCGACTGCTGTTTGCAGAGCAGTTTCACCGTTTGCATTTCGGCAATTGACATCAACGCGTTTGGTACTGAGCAAATTTTGAACTGCTTCTTTGTTGCCGCTTCGAACCGCAACAAACAGTGATTCCTCTTCTGCGCTCATTGAACTCGCAAGGACATCCATTTCGTCTTCTTCTATTGCAGAGTTCAGTTGTGGCGAAAATACAACATCCTTACCGTTTGTAATTTCCTCAACGTTTAACGTGGTCGACTGTCTGCCGTTCATATCCAAAAATTATATCGTACGTGTGTTTACTAGTGGGAAGGAGCGGGAGAATGCGGATGACAAGTGATTTCCTCAAATTTATGGACAGTTGAGTCCTTACCTGTCTGATTTTGTGATAGTTGAGCTCCTAGACGTTTGTACGTCACAAAAAGCAACTATTGCAACTATTGCAATCATTCAGATCTCATGTAGCAGCTATTTATATCACTAATTTGTTGTTTATCGTAAAAAGCTTTATCTCTTTAAGACGTTTAATGTATGTTTATGCATATTCAGGTAAGACGCAAAAGCATTTCTATCTCTAAACATTATTTGCAAAGAGTTTCGTTCCGTGACCATGAGTTGAAACGTGAGAGCATTGAAGTAGTGATTTGAGGTAAAATTTGTCCTCTTACTATTGACAGGGTCAAAGAGTCAAGAAACCTATCAATAACAAATTGTTTTCAAGTGTAAATAAAAGCCAGAATTTGCATCCTTAATGACTAGTTAAAGAAAAACCTTCTAAAAAATATCCTAAATCTAATGTTCGTGTAATATATTGGTAAAAACAATTTATTTATGTTGGAAGCGACTAAACCATCCGAGCATTTTAGGCTGTTGCTCTTCTCCGGTATTTGGAAATGAGTCTGTCGCCTCCGTTGATTCATTCTGCAATAGAGAGAAATATATAATACACAGTTAGAAGGAAAGTTAACAAGAGTAACCTGTTTTGAAGATTTAATACTTAATGTTACTCCATGAGAATCAGAGACGAAATCAGAAAAAGGACAAATTGAAGTGAAAAAACAATGAGAGCAGATTTTTAGGAAGAGAAATCATTTAAGACAAGGAAACAAACGTCCTGTGAAGACATTACTCGCTTAACATGTTTGTTATCTCTCTTTCACTTTTGCGACTGCGACGATCATACTGTAAAGAGGTCGTGAAGCAACCACTCTTGCGTGATGGAACGAAGAGCCGTCTTAATGGGATGAATTGCAAGTCATTTAGAGTATCCTTTAATAATGACTGACTGCTTATACAATGAACGCATCTGTACGTGATAGGACACATGCATTAGGAAAAAGTCGCCCCCCCCTCGTGTGTGGTCGCTATGATACCGAGCCTCTTGTGGTTGTTAGCGGATGTGCAATACCGCCTCAGAACAGTAATTGCACGAGAAGGTAAGGAAGCGGCTTATGGAAGAGAAATTGCTGTTTATCGGCAACGGAAATTTCAATTGTAACATGAAGGAAATTCCATTCCGTATGAAACCAAAAGAGGTTACGACTTAAACCACAAATACAGGTAAGCCGCAAAAATATGTTGAATAACGTAGGGAATACGGTAAATAACGAGTTACTTATTTACCGGTTCGTTTTTCGTGTTCTGATCAGCGTATGCGCCACATTAGCAATCAGAGTTGAACGAGAAGTTGGTTAGGGAGGAAGATTTTTTTAGACCATTAATGTTACAACAAACTGAAATCTATGTTTGTATTTTTAGGCACCAAACCATAGCGATTATATTAGCGAGCGCAGTGTTAAATAAATGGGAATAAATAAATAAAAAAAACAATCCATAATGAAGTAGAAGATGCACTATTTAAAACGTCACTCACCTGAACGCTACTTCCAAAAGCTTTCAGCGCAGTGGTGAGTACGAGACGATCCCTGGCTTGACGCGAGGTGAAGAAGTAACGATCAATAAGAAGCTTGAGGATTTTCTCACGCTGTAAAACGCCAATGTCAAACTATTAGATGACAAGAAACTGACAAAAAAATCGACAAAAACAACCTTTTAGAGTAAACACCTTTAAAGCTGTTTTTTTTAGCTACTTAATTAACAAAACGAGCTAAGGGAAGCAAAAGAAAGTAGTATTGCGAGACTGAATAACTTATCTCCCTTAATGGCACATAAAGCCCATATCAGGTTCTGGCACTTCGTCAAGTTTTCCTGACAGTTTGCCAGTACAATTCGACTTTATTTTCTTAGGCGGAGATATAATCTATGAAAGTGAGGAGAAAGTCTTTCTCAGAAATACAACAAGTGACTGTGGTTGGAGTGCAGAACCTGATCATTTAGTGTGGAGTCCTACGCGCTCACCATCAAGGCACTACGTCTCTCAATCAAGACGGAAACCATGAAATGATTTATAATCGTGCAATTTTAGTCTGAAATTATTCTTGTGATTTCAAATTGAACTTGCGCTGCGCGCTCGTTCAATTTTGAAATCACGCATATGATTTCAGCCCAAATTGCACACCACTCAGTTCAATTACTACTTCTTAACAACCATTCTGAAGTCGCCCAAATACAGGACTTGGTCAGTTCAAATGTTTCATTGATGCAGTACTGAGCTGGTTTGAAATTAAATTCATTCATTTTTTGTGGGGAAAAAATAGGAGTTTTGAAAACAAAAGTTGCAAAATTTTCCACAGGATACTCTTTGTCTTTCATTTTCTTGCAAGTTGATTGGTTACTTTAAACAAGCCTTGAAATCTTAATGGTTGTTTTGTTGTTATTGTATCCTCATTGGCTGGGAAAAAGATGCGATTTAAAGCAAAAAATGGTGCGATTCGTGAATAAATCGCACCAACTAGAGCCAATCAGATTACAGGGACCACCAGTGATTTCAAAATGGGTGTAATAAAAGGAGAAATTAAAATTGCAATCCAAGTGTAACAAGACACAAAGGCCACTTATTTATACAGACGATGATCTCTAGGACTTTGTGAATATCTGAAGTGTCATAGAATCGATCGTGGCGGAAGTAAATCTGCGTTGTTCTCTTTAGTGTCACAAAGGCGGAGTAGCCGAGCGTAAGGCCGGCCTAACTTATGATCGAATTCCCTGCACCTCAGTGGTAAAGCTTCAGGGCATAAAATCTGAGGGTATAGAATTCGATATCTCATTCAGAGAAGTTCTTTTTCTCACGCTCGTAAAAAAATTAATAGATCTTTCTTTAAGGAAGGAAAGGTTGATTTTCGGGTAAAACGTTCCTGCAGATATAAATACCTTGCTTTCACCCAAAAGAAATGGGTACCAAATAAGGACATGCATGCAAAACTTAACTAGACCTACAAGGAATATCCAAATCCTAACCACAATTACCTCAATCATATCTTCGTCTTGCTCTTCATCGCCTTCACTTGAATCCAAATCGTCATAATGCTCTTTCTAGAACCAAACATACACTTTTCAGTACTGCACGTAATGCATGATGAGTCCGCTAACAACCTTAGTTTTCTTGCTAAAAACTTAGATTATTATGGATTAGACTAACTATGATCTGATTGGTCAAGAGTATTTAATAAATACTCCTAATACAAAAAAATCTGTATTAGAAGGACAAAAGATCAGTAATATGCATACTAAATGCTCGAGCCGCGAGCTATTGTGAAGTTGCATATTATTTGACGCCATATAAGACAGTTCAACAGCCAATGAAAATCAAGTCGCTAATGTAATCAGCTAACCCTGCAGACTTAACTACAATTCTGTGCTGACCAATCAGAAATAAGAAAATATCATGAGTTTACAGGTCCTTCACCTTCACCTTCAGTTGTATGAAGTTATCTGGTGAAGAGACTTTGGTTCCCTTATTAATTTACACATGATATCATGACTTTGTTATGCCGGGAAATATTTCTAATAAAGCATTTTTCGTATACTTCGTTCTAGAGACAATGGAAAAGTATATGACTTTAAGGTGTACAATTCCACGGTGATCCTGTTCGTTATTTTTAGTAAGCTCTGTGCTAAACAACCGGCTAATTTGAAATTACTTGTTTGACCACTCCCTTGGTTATAATTTACTAGTACCAGGGGGCTCGGTAATGTGATGACGTAAATACTACTGGTTCGTTGAGTATCGCGGTCAGCGATATCAGTTGGAATAAATCATTTGTTAAGGAGCACTGCCCTCCAAGTAAAACCGGAAATATCCTTAAAATTCAGCCTACCTTTTGAGGCTTGATCCAGTTTTTAATACGTCGACACAAATCAACAAAATGCTTCCGATTGGGCAGAAGGTTAAATGGAGGAGGAAGAACACTTCCCTTGTCCACGTACTGCATCCACATCCCTGTTCTGGAAAACTTCCATTGGATATCAGCATCGTCCTAGATTGGCAATAAGTAAATAAATAAATAACTGAAATCTGGTTAGGACCAGACCAACACATGGTTATGGTGCTGCTCCGTTTTGAGAAGTAAAACGCCAAACTGACACCCGAATTTGGGTTCGAGGTGTCTAGTTCCATTTTATGGAGATGTTGCATAACATAAGTTGCTACTTTCACAAAGTCACAGTCTGATAACTGTTTTGTGTATCAAAGACCGTTGGTGGGAAGTCACGGGACGGTCCCTTTGGCCGTGTTAGTGGTTGTGATCGCAAATAATGATTATCGTCTCATTTTCCCAACATTAAAATTATTACATCTTAATCAAATATTAAGGTCATTTGAGAGAACAGTATAAAGAACATGCATACGGATACCAGGGTGTAAATGGTTAAATAAATAAGATTGTCTTCGGGACTATAAAACTGTTGCTCACCGCTATTTGCTGAAATGAGTTCGACATCATTGCAATGAGCATGTTGAGCGAGATCAAAATGGCGACGATATTGAAAATAGCAAACAAAGTCTCTCCAGTCGTCTGAGTTATGTAGAACGTGCTCGATTCAAGTTCAAATGCTTCAAGATCTGTTTTATCAAACAGAGCCCAAAAAAGCTTCCTCAAGCCAGCAGAGAATCTAAAACGAAGAAAAAAACTCGTATCAAGAAAAGCAGATCAGCTGAGAGTTGAGCAGGCTTTGTTTAACGATTAACAATGACCGTATATGGCTACTTTGGAACAATGGCGGAAACAGCTTTAAAATACACGCGGGATTTTTCAAAATTTCCGATTATCATACGAGCGGCAGATTTAAACCATCGGTTTAGAAACTGATGATACGACAAATACTCCCCGTGGGGGTGATTCTGATAGATTTTTTAGGATGCAAATAGTCACGGAAATGAGTGAAAAAATAAGAGCGAAAATATTGGGAAATATGAAAAGGGATAAATCGTTTTTACAGGACGTTTCGGCGATCATACTAGTTACCGACACAATAAAATGGCGGTCATGTGAGCAGAGCAAGTGCGGATCTTACTTAACTCCTTCCTCATATAGTTTTCTCTCTCGTTCCAACACATATGCATAGCTGTTTATTACCTGATTGAAAACGATCTACAAAGGTGACACGACAGACTAAGATTATGAAAAACAACATTTGAATTCATTCACGTTTGATCTGTGGATGACAAGTTACAACTAAATCTTCACAGTCAAACATATAAATTAATGCTGAAAGTTTCAGAAATTGAAGCCCAGAAAAACCTTGGGTTCTGGCGGGACTAGATGGAAATCATAAACGAGGTGTCCAAGCTCAGATTTGTTCTCCAGGGTTCATTTCTGCGATCGGTTCAAAGGGTAGTTTAGTAAAGAGGATAATATCGTCAACAGAGAGGACCTTAATATGAAAGCGATCTCCGCAGTTATGAACCTAACTTAAGCAGTGATGAAAATAAGGCCTGAAAAAGATTCAAGCCTCATTCAGCCTTTTTAGGCTTTATTTTCACTACTGCGCAGATCGCTTTCGTATTCATTTCTTAATCCGCAGTGCACAACCGACCTGCAAATATTCACAGTCAAAGGTTGACCTGGTTACACAGTTTAAGTTGCCACTCATTTAGAGTTCTTGTACATTGATAACGGTTACAAGCTATTAGCAGAGGTTTTGTGGGTTGACATGGGATAAGGTCTAACCGTCCGTGCCAATGACACAATGGGTCGCTGTTGGGCTATTGCAAGCCGCAAGTAAGGAACACGAGAAGATAATTTGAAGCGAGTGTCTGCTAAATCTAAGCTACTGAATCTCAAGGATAAAAAATGCCAGTGACTTACCCTGAGAATTCATGGGAATTTTGAGAGTGTTCCTTAGCCGGATATAAATTCACAATTTGCTCAAATTGTGAATAAACTTTGCGGATGGCCATAGAAAAGGACACGAAAACCAGAAGGAACAACAGCAGGAACTTGCCTACATCTTGACACATCTTTATCAAAGATAACTGCAGAGGACCAATGCCACTGTTCACTTGCAGCGAGTTTGACAAGTGGAAAAAACTTACCAAGAACGCCATCGAAAAAATGCTGTGTAGAAATTAAAAGGCAAGTGAAAGTTGCAACAAGCAATTCTGTCATTAAACCCTTTCAAACCTCAGTCAAAATTAAAAGTCAAATATAAATTTCAGTTTGTGAAGTCCCGAGCCACAAAAGTGTGCGAAAAGAGACTTCAATATCCAGTCATCTTCACCTCAGGTACTTAGTCAATCACGCAAATACATCACATGTGCTTCGTTTTACAATATTCATGGTCTTTCAATCTGATTTTTTCGGGTTTAAAGGCTTTTTATCAGAAAATTTGAAAAGACTGCGTTATTAGTAATGACTGAGTGTCTTCATGGCTGGACACAGTGCCTTCTATGAGTAAATTTGCAAGCATTGCAATCCTTCCATACTTCTCCGCAATTCTTTACCCACCTGTTTGAAATAAACAAGAATCGAAAGGCTGAATCTCTCGAGATACTTCTGACGAGGTATTTGAACGAATAATTTCCATCTTTAACCATCAACGCTGAGGAACCCAACAGCCAGAATAAGCCCGCCAGTAAGAAGAAGAGTAACATTAAGATGGTAATAATATTCCACCATTGGGCAAAGTAACGCTCTCTTCCTTGTCTGTAGAACTCTTTCATTTCTTCAAAGATGAGACCTAACACCCACATAGCGGTCAAGATATCTGAGAGGAAAGTAAACGAAAAATAAAAACGGGCCACTCGAGTTTTATTCAAACATACATAAGCTACCTTACTGCTTTTTTGTTTGTTTCCGCGGGGAACTCACAAGTAAGGAGTAGCATGCGCGAGGGAGACACATGGTGTCTGTGTAAGAAAAAGAATTTTCCTAGTTTATTCAATTAAAAAAATGGTTTCCATGTGGCCGTGCGTTTGTCAGTAAGAGATTACAGATTACGTCAAAATGTGGAAAGAAAAAAAGAGGCACAATAAGCGCAACCGAATTCGTCACTGACAGAACAATTTCTAAACCATAGTGCAACAGCTAATCAACGATTGTCGCTGCAACACCATGGTAAAATTCATTTCTTGTCCCGCCGGCAGGATAGGAGGCTGGGAGTGAGTGGTTTTCTTGTCACTAAATACAGGATTCCATGAGCACTAAACCAATGTCCATGTTTACTTACCTATCCAAGAGATTTCCAAGAGTGAAATTCCTAGCCTGTCTTGAACTGAGGAGAGAATCAGAATGAACAAGAACCAGCAGAAAGAGCCCGTATGACTAATGAATTTGGCCAGCGGAGTAGCCAGTTTCTGAGACAGTTTATTGTCGGGCGTGACAAGGTAAAAAATGGACCAAAGAGGTAATAAGAGCGTGTGAAGAACAAAGAAGGTAGTTTTCGTGATATTTCTCCGGTAAATCCAATTCTTGTCGAAGTCGAGGTAAAGCACTGCATTTAACATGAGTTGAGAATACGGATGAGCCACAAACTATGGAGAAAAATTTAGAAGAGATATGTGTTCTTTAAAAGCGAGAATTTTGAACCACCTCACGGAAATTTAAGAAAAGGTTGATTAAGGTAGTTGCATTTTACCCTTCCATTATTGTTGCAATAGTTATTATAAATTTGTTCATATATTTCAGTGAAAGTTTTGGGAAACTTTCTCTGCGAAATCTCAAAGAGCAATAAGTGAAGGGAAAGGAGTCCCCTAAACCCCTCCCTCCTCACGCTTCCTCCTCTGTATAAATAAGCCTTGGAACAACGCCTACAAATTTGTGCTGTGCAAATTTACTCAAACGATAATCGAATGTTACCGCGATAATTGCGATTTAACGATGCTCTTTGAATGATATTTTAGTTGGAATGACATATCGGCGATACAATACAAGCCATTGTTCTAATAGCCACGAGATATCGTTGAGTTCTTCGCGAATTGTCGTTTTCCCTGAGCGATATTAACCCAATTTCTAATACTCCCACGGTGAAATGTTGAAGCTGCCCAGCTTAAACAGCAAATTAACGAAATAAATTCAAACTGCAAATGGATAAAATTATATCTAGATAGAAAAAGGAAATTAAATAGACTTGACGACCTACACATACATTCAATTTGTTAATCTACTGGTTTAAAATATACTATTGTTCGTGCTGAAATTTCATTTCGATCGCGATGAAACTCAGTTGTCTTAGTGCTCCAGTGAAAAATGAAAATGGTCATAAAAAAGGCGGAAAAATGACGAAAAAACAGAAGAGGAGTAATCATGAAGACAACATAAATATCTTTTCCGTTCCTCGAACCACTGAACTCATTTGATTCATCCACATTACCTCGAGTGAATTTTTTTTAACAGGTTTTCCCGATAAGCCGGACTGCAATAACCTGATGGTAAAAAATTTTAAGAAATAAATCTCTGCCGAAATCAGCTTTCTTTTCCTTTTTGGATTTTCACGTCAAGAAATAATTCCCTCAACATTCTCGTACCACAAAAGGCCAAAGGAGTGAAAATACTGAAGTGTGCATGAAAAAGCACAAACTTCGAAAGTTGATTCTAAGAAACCAAAATTAATCAGTTGTCGTTTATAATCTTCCTAGAGGTCGTTTTTTCTTCAGAAAGTCTTCAGGCATTGCTTAATAGTAAGCTTAAACTCGTTTTGAAAAAGCGTAAAAAATTAGAATAAATAAACGAATAAAGTGCTACACTTTCATGCAATTACAAATAAGATACAATTTGCATATTTTAGAAAAATCTTAAAGTAGTAATGAAAAGAAATTAAATTATGTCACTGTACGAAGCCAGAAGACCTGCACCAAACTCAAGTATTTCGAAATGAAATCCTCTGTCTAAAATGAATAATCTGGCGAAAGAAAACAGGTTGTATTTTACTGACTTTATTCAGCCTTTTTTTTTTTAACGTGAACCGTTTACAATCCCTTATCACTCAGTTTGCTCTAATGCGATTTCGATCAGAAGATATTAAGATCAGAAAATGAAAGCGTAAACTAGAGACTAGAGCTACACGTCATTGGCTGCCAAATTTTGGCGAAAAAACTCGAAAAAGCAATTATCTTCTAAGTAGACTTATTGTCAGTCGGTGGATTGATAAACTTTCTAGTACTATTCAAATAGTGCGTTCAAAGCCAAAGTGCAATATTTCTTGCACACGATTGTTTCCGTATTATCTTGCGAATCTTCAGCCGGTAAGCCAACATCTAAAATGAAAATTCGTCTTTTCTGGTTCAATTTGATTGTCTTGAAAACGACACTGGAAAAGGCCAACACACATCCAACGGAAGAATCAAAACTAATAATCCGATATTACAGGGAATCTATGCTTGGAGAGGCGCAGGGATCTCACCAAAATTATACGGTCAAACGGCTTTTCGAAAAAGATCGTAATTCCCGTGAAATAAAAACGAAGCGCTCAACACGAACAGGTATTCTAAATTCCACATCACATGATGAAATTTTGGTGTTTTGTAAGGGATCTTCACGGTATTCATGCTTTGGAAAGTGTAAAAAGAGCGGGACCTAGGACCAACAGAAGTAAGACTTCAGTGTTTCTGCGACTCTTACTGTGAAATGTTTATGGACTGTTGTGGAGATTATGACAAGCACTGCTTGCCATCGAACTCATTGGTGGCAGAAGGCAAAACTCCCTGCTCTTCTAGAGCTAAGTAGACCATAAAGCAGTTTATGTTGAAACCACGAGCAACGTTATCGCCAATTAAAGAGACGGATTTATTTTCATCAGAAAATGTAACTGGTCAGGTCCTGACCTCGTCGCTAATCATGAAGAGTTTACATATTTCGCCATCGCCACCTTACAAACAAGTCGGAAGTCATTCCACCATTAAGGCAACTATTCTATCCAGTTTTCCGAATCAGCAACAACCATCTACCCGGATGAGCGATGGAGATGCGTACACAACGGTCATACAAATGAAACTGTGAGGATTTGGATGATAGCTGCTTGTCCTAAACAATGGCCGGCTGATTTGACGAAGACAAAATGCGAACAACCTTACAACCTCTCTGACGAGAATCTGAAAGACATGATTCCCGTTTCTGATCAGAAAAAACCCAGCTACAGAAATCACTATTGCGCGAGGTGCGCTGAGGTAAAAGCGAGCGACCTCGTGCCCTTAGAACTTGATATAACTTGCGTTGTGATTCAGTCCACCACGCCACTACTCTCGTTCTAATGCTTTGAAACTCCTGTTCAAATATTGTTCAAAGGTACAATGGAAAGTTCGAAATAAACAACGTGCACGATACTGTACAGCAATCAATTCTAACTGCCAGACATCTTCGCCTTACTATCACAACTACAAAAGTGGTAATTACCGAGTCATATACGATGTCGTTACGAGAACGAATTATAAAAACCTCTTTTGTGCCAAATGTCATGAAAACAAGCGATGGAAATTTGTCTGTGGGCCAAGATCGCAGATTCTCAGTGTTTATGAGCGTTCAATCGAGGTTTTCCTTTTTTTTTTTTTTCGGTTGTTTTTACTTCAGAATGCGCGGAAATCTGTTGAAATATATGAAAAATATCAATTTCTCGTCTTTTTTGGAGCGACCGATAGAAACTTCACGGAGAAATACAGTGTCACGCTATCGTGATAACGTATATTTTTATGACAAATGACCGATGTGCGGATAGTTTCATGTAGATCAGCCGACTTCAACATGTTTCAGATGACATACAAGTATAACAGTGTATCTTCAGAGGATTTCGGATTGCTCAAATTCCCATGAAAGAAGGTGCAGCACTCGGAATCTGGATGATATCCACACGATTTGAGGTATATGTTTGTAGTTACGTCGAGTAGTCCTCCATGAAGGTTGATCGATTTTTTTTAAAAGATGACAACCAGAGGTGAAATTTCTCTTCGGGATATTGCTCATAAGATAACATTCTTTCAAAGCCCCCCGCCTTTTTTATTTGTCTGAAACGTTTGTTGTTGAGAACATTAGATATAATCATCGCCAAATTATGCCATATCTGATTTTTGAGCTTCGTTCGCGAATTGCCCCTATGGAAAGTAGAGGCAGGCCCGCAGTGATTTTTTAATTTTTAAAAACTAGAATATTATAACCAGCTAGGTGTGCAGTTTCAGCTCCAGAATCGGTGTACTTTTGGAGAAATTCGGATAAACGTTTTCCCTGTTTTACCCGACAACAAAAATGACCAAAACTGTACCGAGATAAATAATCTCTTGGTGTTCACATTCACTCCCAGGGAAAATTAAATGTATCAAAGTGAAGACGAATGATGTTACTATGTATGGTAGAAGTGCCAATTTGTAATGTTGTATTTAGCTTGAGATAAAGAAATAAGCATTTCACTCTTTTTTTGCGACGTTTTTGTATGAAAATGAGGCCCCAGGCCTCGAACAAGCAGCCGTTGTTACCATGACAACAAGAGTGCTGCGCCCTTTTGTGCATCCCCCTTGAGCGCCTAACTGCATGCAAAATTTGAAGGGAGGTTGAAAATTTTCATTTGCCAAGATGTTTGATTCTTACAGAGAGTTGTTCTTAACTTACATCCAAAAAAGACCTGCAAATCAGGTAATAGTGTTAAGTGTTTGATAAAAGATTCACAACGCTTTGGTAGGAGTACTTTTGCTTCGATATATATATCATAAGATGTTTTGCAGTGTATCGCTGAGTATTTTTATGAATTTGCCCGTAGGCAATGTAATCGTAACAACGATTAACAGTACTAAGCAATACTACACAATAACGTCCAATAAGTTATTTACCATCTAAATATTTTCTTTTTTGGCCAATTATTTTTCCCCATCTCTCATAAGGCGGGTAAAGCAAAGTAGAAAGAGAAGAGTACTGCACAAAGCCGGTTAAACAGGTTCTTTTCCCAGTACAAAATAACTAACTGTACAATATCGCAGGATATTTGTACTCTATTGGCGCGTTATTTATACTATACTTTGTGCAATTGGATAGTAAGATTATGTATGCTAATGTATGTAGCGCAATGTTGAATGGTATTAAATCATTTTTAAGAAAGCAAATGAAATCATTTTTAGGTAGTTCAAAGAAATGTTAAGAATAGTGACTTAAGCTTTGTAAATAACCTTCGTATTGTCCTTACTTGAGTGACATAGGGTGCCTCTTTAATTAATAATTCCTTTATGAGTGAGTACTGCGACACGCGCAATAGAAATGATCGATACATTCTTTGTAATTCTTATTACTACTACTACTATCATCATCAATCAAAAACAAACTCGATTCAACAGTAGAAGAAGAAGTTAGTTGGTTGATTTCATGGTAAACCCCCCCATTTGTAACTAAACAAAAGTTAACTTGTCATCAGGGGAAAATATTCCAAAGGCGATTTTGTCTGTACCGCATTCAAATTTCCTACGTGAATATGTATCATTATTCATAATTTTCACAAAGTACGTGCAAGATCGCCTTAAATTAAAGCGAAAAAAGATAAAGTGAAGCAAAACAAACGTAATGAGAAACTAAACGGCATTTTGCTTTTTTTCGTTGCTGAAACAGATGGTATCTACAAAATTTACGAACGCTAAGTGTAACTGAAGAACAATATTGTACGAGGTAAAATTTGCAATTCAATAATTGCGAAACGTGGCAGCCCTTTTAATGAAGTCCGTGTTATTTTTAAATTACGATAATACGCTGCAAACATTAATTCTCCGAACTGAAAATGTCACTATATTTTCAAATTGATTCTAAATTGATTCTGATTATTAAGATACTAAAATCAGCCCCCAATTTTTCCCAAAAAAAATTTAATGCAGTTGTGAACGTCTATGCACAGGTTTAATGAAAAAACATAGCAACACGTGAGGTGTTAGTGTTTCTTTTATAGCTGGTATAAAATGATTTAATCAAAACGCATCGATTATGTTAGAAACGGATTGATCACAAACATTTGATCTTCACACATGTTAACGTTAAAACTTTAAACGAAATTTTTCTTTACTAAATCAGTCTACAGAAGCCCTCTCTGACGCGTCGGTTGATTCAAACGGTGCATAAGTACTTTCAGTCACAGATGTCTGATTTTGAAATCGCATTAAATTTATTTAAGCAATTTAATATGTCTCTTGAAAGATCTCAGTTTGAGGCATGGGATGAATTTAAGAATGTCTCTTTCCTTTGCGGTTGAAACTACCGCGTTGAGAAGCTGAGACTGACTAAATAGAGGCGACTGCCCCGCGCTCTGTTGTCGGATAATGTACAGGCCTGTATCCGCGCACTGTACGTTGATTAACACATGGTACTTAAAAGTTCAAACAGACTGATTCGAACGCCGAAATTGAGTTTGTGCTTCGTACACTGGGTCTGGCACGTGAATGACGCGGCAATAAAAAAGAGTCTGAAGGCTGATATACAAAAAACGGGACAAGTCTTTCCGCGCACACTGAATTCAAAACAAGTCATTGCTTCTCATTTATTGTTGCGATCATCCCACAAACTCGAATCCCTTTGAGCTTAAGAGACCTGTTGGGACAAATTTGTGTCGAAAGGATTTTCGCCCTTGAGAGTCCAGTTATTAATGAAAACAACAAACTTACCCTCTCATTCTTGTTCTTGATGGCGAAGTTAAGAACACTCAACTTCTTCGCAGCCTCATTCGCTGTCCTGACTCGAACGTGTGCTAGCCCCTTGATGGAAGGCATGGTCATCACGCAGCCAATCTCTGTCATGTTCCTGCAGAGATTCAGCAGTGCCACCGCGTACTCTTCACAGCGAGTCGACAGATTTGAATAATCCTTCTTGAACTCGTATTCCTCCCGGGCGAGAAGTTCGAGCTTTCCATTGAGCACAAATGCTTGATAAACAGGGTCATTTGTACACGTATATTCAGCGGTTAGTTCCTGTTTCTCGCAGTCGGCGAGATACGACAACGAGAGATAAACCGGGCTGGCTAAGGCCCGATAACCATTCAGTCGATATAGAGCTTTCTCTAGGCTTCCCATTCCATTACAGCCTTCGCACGAACAAGAGCGGGGATGCGGTTCCTCAATTCTATATCCCATGGAGAGGAAAAACTTCACCAAATCGTAGTTATCCTGTTGTGCAGCGAGGGTAAGTGCGAAATTTCCCACCTTAGCTTGTCTTTCCGTTCCTTCTTCAGACTCGAGAGAGCTGGATTTTCTTTTAAAAAATTCTCTCACTTGACGCAAGTCCCCTCTGCGGACGGCTTCAAAAAATAATTGTTCTTCTTCAGAAAGGGTCATCTCCGGCATAGTAGCCTCTAAAACGTCTAACAGAGACGTCGAAGCTGTCCTTCCGCGTCTTAATGCATGAGCCGCCATGTTTAAAAGCAATTATTTCTCACGTTGTGAACTTTCTCTACACAGTAGGATGACTCTTCTTACTCAAGAACGCAAGCGCATTAAGGTTTTCTTTACCGCTGTCAATTTTAAGTATAGCGACTGGTATGTAGAAACAAAAAAATACTCAAACTATTCATTAATTTTTTCTCCTATAATCGGTAACAGCGACATGATCAATATGTTAAACAGATGTAAATTGTGCAGAAAAATTCTCTTTCCCGTTGCTAGGTGGTGATGAACAGTTGTATGGAATGTACCGTGCGAAAAAAGAAGCGGCAAATTGAAGAGCGATCGTTTCTTTTAAACAATGCATTTCACACTTTTTTCAAATAAGCACCATTTAATACAACTAAAAAGTCAAGATATTTTTGCCCTCTGAGCACAACCTTTCACTTTTTTCTAGTAGAGCTGTTGAAAAATATACGCCACTTAAAATAAGCTCTTTGACCCTCAAATTGAAACGAGCTCCCTAACCTTACTCTCTTTCTTTACAGTAAAATCCATCTCAAACGTGTTAAAATGTCTATTTCTGAAACTACAGAGGCTTCTGTTTTGCTTTTATCGTGCTTACTATTAAAGAATAAAAAATCCTGGTAAACTTTGATCGTGTTCCAAAATTGGCTGTAAAATATTATACCTGCGAACTAACAACCAACTGAGCACAACCTTTCACTTTTTTCTAGTAGAGCTGTTGAAAAATATATGCCACTTAAAATAAATTCTTTGACCCTCAACGAGCTCCCTAACCTTACCCTCTTTCTTTACATTAAAATCCATATCAAACGTGTTAAAATGTCTATTTCTGAAACTACAGAGGCTTTTGTTCTGGTTTTATCACGCTTACTATTAAAGAATAAAAAATCCTGGTAAACTTTGATCATGTTCCAAAATTGGCTGTAAAATATTATACCTGCGAACTAACAACCAACTTAAAATTTAAAAAGACCGGTCGTCAATTGAACGAGTTTCTCGAAATCCTCGAAAAAAGCAAATTCATCACGAGTGACTTAGCAGCTGCGTGAGAGATCTTTGGGTAAAAAAATATGGGACCTTAAAAAAAAAAAGTCGCTCTCTTATTTTACCGAAAATTACTTGTAAACACCTATTTTTCGATCTGAGTCTTCGGAACAATGCATTTTGCGATTGACGGAAAAACGGATAATTCCTGGAAACAGATCTCTTTTAAATTTTTTCTATGAAAAGCTGAGAGTTTTCTTAGCCGGGGACTCAGTAAACGTGGGAATAAGAAAGTTAAAAATGACGAAAATGAAGAAACTTCTTTTTTCTACGAATTACCAATCAAATTGATTTGCCGAGTGATGTCTCCGATCTTCTTCATTATATGTGAACAAACAAAAATTTTCCCAAGTTAAACGAAAATTTTTGAAGTATGTCACCATCCTTATTGAATGAGCGACCCTGTAACGTCATCGTTCTCACTGGAGTGAGCGTGTGACATGTTCGCATATAGAGACACCACAAGAACTCAATTTTCAAGCTACGCCTATTCAACGAGTTAGAGGACTATAAAAAGGAATGTTAAAAGTTCTTTAACTGTCAATATCTAGCTCACAGAATAGCGTCCGTGTCTTTCTCGTCTTTGCAATAAGTTCCATTGCCTCTGTGATGAATCTCTACCTTGGTTTTTTCCTAAAGGACATACCAAAGGGAAATAACGTTAAAAACCCTCTAGTCCACAAAGAAAATTTTAAGTCACGTAACTATCCCAAACTACAGAGGAAGTCGCATATACATGAGCAGTCAATATAGCAGATAATATTTCAATAAGCTGCTCATAATTCAATGAATTGTTAGTTATAAGTGAAGTTACAAAATAATTATAAAATCATAGACGATCAAAATATTTTCGACGTGTGTACTGTGTTAATGGGATCTGCATAAAGCTGTTGTGAAGTTCCACAAAGAAAAGTAAATTCGTTGCTGTCAGGCTCATTGCTGTCATACTCAGAGAACGCACTACTTGGTGATTATTTCACGTTCCTATTTTCTTTTTTCAGTGGAAGACAAGATAATTTACAGTTTTAAAAGAAACGGACAGAGCTAACGCTTTTCCCCTAATAAAAGCTTTTGTTTACAGGCGAGCTTGTACCTGTTGTCGTCCTAGTTTGTGTGTGATCCCTAATACTGCACCCAAGAAAGAAATTTTTGTCTCCTGATATGCACTTACCTCAGACTGTGGTTTTGCTGCATCAGCAAGACCTTTCCTTTCTTCACTCCTTCTCAACATGCCTTGCAACTGTGCAATCATATCCTTTAGTTCGCCACAGTCCCCCAATCTCTCCGCTGTAACCTGAGGGGCATGGGACTGGAAGGGTTTGTTCGGATTCTCAATAGTGAGTAGATACCGCTGGATCAAACGCCTCATTACCACGCGACGCTAAATTAACAAAAGGCAGAGGCAAATACCGAAATGAGCTAAAAGGAAAGTAACCAAGTTGTAACTGATTTTAGTGTTGCATCCCACTGAATGAAGTCATTACCATTTAAGCAAGAATACCTCATTAGATAAAAATTTTACCCCAAGCCTTGATTACTTATCATTGTTCTCAAGCCTCTACTACATTAGTACTTCCTTTCACGTTGGTATATATTATTTTTATGATCAAAGTGCCAGGGGAATGTTTTCTTATTTAAATCCACAGTGTACTCCCTTAAATTTAACGGTTGAATTAGCTCTTCGAACATAAACGTGTTAGGGTGTAGCAAGTTGCATATATAATACATACCCTCTGTATGTCCACCTTATCTTTTAGTAGAGGCGCTGGTCTTTCGCGCCTAGCACAGCATCCGCGCTAAAAAAAGGGACAAACAAAAGTAAGCAGCAGACATTGAACGGAGTATGTGCGCATTAATTTTTATGACTATGTGGGTTTACAGGACTATATTCAACACTTAACGACCGCTACCGAGGGAAACAAAATAGACCGTTTTCCGAGGGACCAACATTAAGTAATTTGTTATATAGCACAGCGTAGAAATTCAAGGGCAATGTGAAAACAAATCGTAAATTTATGAAGATCTGTGAGCACATTAGAGCGGAAAATACTGCACTGCTGAAATGTCACACCAACGCCAGTCACGTTCTTTTACGTGCAATGTCGGTCAACCTGTGCGGGTAACAATGCACTGTTACCCTCTGAAGTCACAAATTCTGCGTTGTTGCCTGCTTAGAGACTTTTGACTGGGAACAATTTCATTGTTAGATGTCATGTCAAGTCAACCCAGAGTAACCAATGAGAGAGGGTTATATAACATTGAATCTTTAGGCCTCTCCACCTACCATGAAGGAGGACGGATCAGCGCAAAACCTTCTACAGAGACGGATTACCAAATACGGATGAGGAATGAGGTTAAATGGCGGCGGCAATACATTGCCTTCGTCCAGATATGGCATCCACATCCGAGTTCTCGAGAACTTCCACTGGATATCAGCATCGTCCTTAAAAAACAGCAACAAATTGTCAACATAAGGTCAGCGCCTCTGCGACATGCGAAATTTCAGTTACAAGATAACATATTTCGTGCTTTTCACATCAAAACGCAGTGAATCGCAACTTGATCGTACCGATAAATAGCGCTATTTTGATAGATGCTTTTTTGGAGAAACACCTTCGGTGCAATAAAATTACATTACATCACGAGATAAAAATCGCACAAGTAAACGGGCTTTCATTGGTTTAACTTACCGCGACCCTCTGATAGGAGTTCGTCATCATTGCAATCAACATGTTTATGGCAACTACAATGGAAAAAATACTGTATAATCCCAGGAGAACTTCCCCTGCGTATTGAGTGATGATGAAGTTCTTGTGTGTTCTCAGGTCCGACAGTTCCGACATGCCAAACAAGTCCCAAAACAAGAACCTCAAACTTCCTCCGATCCTTTAAAAAAAATAAACCGTTAAACAGCAGTTTCACTAGACGCATTTCCTTTCCTTTCTTTGTTTCCTTGTTTTCTTTGTCGCACAGTTGGCCAAGTTTCTACGCAATCGCTGCACAATAGTTGGAAAAAATAAAGGAATTAAATTGCACTGTTTCTTTTTTTTATAACCTGTTGTCTGTTATTTACTTTTTATTAATCATTATTTATCATTAAACTACAACTTATCTGCTTATTCATAAATTTTCAGTATCTGCAATGAGTCAGTAGTCAACTAAATCTATCAAGTTTGACTATTAAATTGGATGAGGTGGATCCAGTGATCACGTGATCTACCAGTCATATCATGATACGAAAACCGAGCCTAAATTTCCCTCGTTGGGGCAAAATTGTTCTTTTGATACATACCAAAGACTCAATTAGTACTTACCTGGCAAATTCGTGTTCAGTTTCATTCCCCTGAAAAGCTTTCCTTGTTTGTACGTACCGGGAGTAAACCTTTCGCTCGGCCCAACCGAATGCAAGAAACAACAACAAAAACAGGAACAGAAACTTGATAATGTCTCGCATCATTTTCACCAAGGACAGCTGCAGAGGCCCGAGAATGGAGTTAACTTGAAAAAAGTTTGAAGCATTTATGAAGCTCAACACCAGACTGATGGAAAATGTGGCGTTAGAAAGGAGAATAAGGCGATATGCGTACACTTGGGCTTTGTCACCAAATACGTCGCCAATGGGTATTGTCCAGCCTCCAAATCCTTGCGCTGTCATGATGAACCCGGCAATCCAAAGGATTCCCGAAATTACGAACAACCCTATCATAAACAGTGTGACGAGGTTCCAGTATTGTGAAATATAACGCTCTTTGCCTTGGCGAAATGCCTCCTGTGCCTCTTGGAACAACAGACCGGCGATCCACAGCGACATGAACAAATCTGGTCAAGAAGAAATACAACTTACTGGTCTACGCAGAAGTTATTTTTTCGCCATAACGACAAAAGACTCAAATAAACTCTTCCACAACGGCTTCTTGTATACATCATTCGCTTACTTCAATTGTAAGGAGTGTGATAAATAATTGGCGTGTACTATTACTACCGATTAAATACTCATGAATTAATTTCAATGACAATTGACTAGAGAGATTGATTGTCAAACGATTAAAAAGACCTTGACAAGTACTTACCAATGACTGAAAACTGAAGCACATCAATCCACTTGTCCTGGATCGACGAAAATATGAGCAGGATAAGAAAGCAGCAGAACGACCCCGCGTGACTTACAAACTTGAAGAATGGTTTCTTCAGCATTTTGCTGACTTGAGAGTTAGGCGCCAGGAAATAAACTAAAACCAACACTGGCAACAGTAACGTTAATAATATACTGCATATCACTTTCTTTAGGAAGCCAAAATCTTCCCATCCTCCCAATCTGTCGTACAGCACCGAGTTGAGCATAAGCTGGCTGTAAGGGTGAGCGACAAACTAAAGGAAAAAAGATGACACGAGTTCCTAAAATGATCCACGTCCACTTTAAGAGGGCTTTTTGCCCAGCGCAAACTTAATCTCGTACGTGATAGGTTTAAACCCGTCACGAAATCTCAAGTCTGATACAACGATGGTGTTTCTTTTCTTTTTTTTTAATTCGATGCAGGATTTGAGAATTTTCTGCTAGTGCTAAAGAACCCAAAATAACCTCGCTTGTTGTTGACAAAGCCAAAGAATACTTGTATCCGAAAATACTGATCAGTGATCTCTTTTTCTTTTATTTTTTTTCACTCTAAGCTGTTCCTAAACGCTTTGTCTCGAGATCTACAAATATCTGCAACAGTTGTTTAATCTTGTCGCGCAACATGCTCACTATATCCTAAGACATTTACATCTCTTGTCCGCAGATCACTCAAATACTCAAGTATCGCCCTCTCCCAAAATATTTTTGCCTCTATGAAAAACTGAGAACACTCTGTGTTTAGCTTAAACCCATTTTACGACATGAGAATCTGGAGCCAAGCTGAACCGATACATTCGACGAATTTTAACTTACAAATCACCCGTAACGAACTCTAAATGTACTTGAGTCACGCAACCCCCAACATCACGCAAAAGCCCATTACTTTGACAGACAAACATTTTGTCGCTTGCCATTGACTATCGCTTCCGCTTTTGGCTACCAAGTGTTTTCAGCAACTATCAAAGACAGCTGTTCTTTTTTCCCCCCTGAGGTAAACCCCAAGAGGGTGGGCATGCATGTTTCCTTTCCCTTCCTCCCCTAAATTCACTGACCACAGACGTTACCATGGAGAGACCATGTTTACAGAAAGATGCATAATCATTACTTACACTTAACATATATTGACTTTTGCATCGAACGCACTGATTTGTTTTAAAATTCTAGTTATAGAATAGAGCTACGTCCCCGTTGTGCCGCAAAAAAAAAAACTCCCTCATAACAAACTGACGAGTACTATCCACATGGCAAATTTGTAGGAGCTCAATTTTAATTTGAAACTTTGGCATTTTATTGACAAATCTCAGGGCCCTCGTTAAGCCATCTACCTCAGCAAATTTCGTCCAAGACATGTTTTCCTTGACAATTCTTCGGAGCTTTCGTATCAAATTTTCTCTTCCCGATTCCTGCCTGTTTATTTTTACCTCAGAGTGTTATTTTTACTTTCAACAAACTATATCGTCGAGGATTGCTCTTTTTTTTATCTTGAAAAAATTATAATAATAACAAAAAAATCGTGATCTACGTCCTTTCCAATCTCAACAGTAACCAAGTCTTGTTTAGTTAAGCAAGTTAAAACGTTAATAGTCGTACCTTTTCATTACCATTAGCAATGGCAAAATTCAGCACGCTGAGCTTTTGGGCTTCCGCTCCTCCCCTGACTTCGACATGTTGTACTTGATCAATACCTGGTACCCTCATGACACAACTTATTTCTTCCATCGTGCGGCATTTGGCGAGAAGTGCCACTGCAAATTCTTCGCAGTTGTTAGACAACTGTTTGTAGTCCGCTTTGAATTCGTACTCGGTATCCACGAGACTCTCCAACTTCCGATTCAAAAGGAAAGCTCGAACGATCGGATCTTTGGACGAAGTTATGTCTTGTTCTTCGACCAGCTGCTCGCTTGATTTGTCGAGTAAATACGACATGCACATGTATACAGGGCTAGTTAGCGCTCGATAACTCTGCAAACGGTAAAGAGAAGTCCCCAATCGCTTTCCCAAGCGCATGCATTCATCGCATTCACAGGATCTATCATGGAATGCTGGTTCTTCAATAGTGAAACCCTTCGACAAGAAAAGCTTTACAATCTCCTGGTTGTCATTGTGGGCAGCCAACATCAAAGGGGAAACGAATCTACTATACCGAACCTGGCTCGTCAGCTGTTCTGATGACACATTGCTTGGACTGGCTGGTCGACTCTCTGAGTCCTTCACGAAAGCGAGCAGCGCCCTCACCCACTCGACCGAATCTTTGGCCACAGCTTGTAACAAGGCATTCCCCACTTCAGCTCCATTCTCAAGAAGAAACTTTGCGATATCGTGACGGTCGTTATTAACCGCTAGCTGCAGAGCTGTTTCTCCGGATAAATTCGCGCAATTCACATCGACATGTTTTTCCAGCACGTACAAACGAACACCATGTGCGTCGCCATCACGAACTGCATCAAGAAATCTGCTCTGCTCCTCGCTGAGTGTTATGTCTTCAAAGGGTGAATCAGTTAGGTCTTCTAGGGTTACTGTTGTGAGATACGGTTCAGAAACTGCCCTCATGCTCAGTTGACTTAAGATAACTACTTCAACTTGCGCGAGTGTCGAGCAATCATAAGAATTTGCGGTACTTATCAACCTTTGGTTGCGTGACCGATTTAACGAACAGCGTGACTAATATCGAACCTGGTCAGCGGCTTTGATATTGAGGGTAAGTATGTCATGTATGGGGAATTATAATAGCGGAGCTCGCGCAGCCCCATGATTATATAAAATAGTAGTAACCTATCAGGCCGAAAAAATTTAGATGTACGACCGTACGACCGTATATGGTGCTACTTTTAACATGCGTGGTCAAATGTACCGCGAGCACGCCAACGCCACGGCTTTGTCCAATAGTCCAGTGGCCAGTGCACTGGGCTCCGAGTCGGACGACCCGGCTTCTAGTCCTGGCCGGGGCAAGGCGTTGAAACGTACGGAAAAAAAATGCGAGCTCCGCTTTTAGGCTTAGCTAAATCTATATATTAGACATTACTGTATGTATGAAGAGTATGGAACATAACATGTATTAAGTAGATGGTTCCTCATACATGACTTCCCTACGACTAGGTGCGTCATGCACTTTTCACTCGTGCGTCACAAACCAGTCAAAAATGGCGACGTCCGTGGTTCTTTGCGATACTGTTGATTTTAAAATAAGTTTACGCTCTTAGCAAAGCCAATAGTATTAAAATTACATTTGAGTGGAACTTTCAAGTGGTGAAAACAAGTTATTAATTCATCACAATTTAATAACAAGATGCGAAATCAGTACAAGTGATAGGAAAAATAAAGTGATCCATAATAATCTATGAATCGTCAGCAAAAGTTTCAAGAACATTAGACTATAGGTCAAACCCTCGTTCTTGCTTTAAAGATCTCAAAATATTTTCATCGTACTGCGTACGATAATTCTTAGGTATGTCACACTTTATTTAAACGAGCACTATTTAAGACATCTTCAACTGTAAGTCAAAATATCATTGCCATTTTAGCACATTTTTTCACTATTTTCTATAGCAACTGTTACAACTGTACGCTAAATGAAATTAGCCCTATGACCTTAAAATTAAAACAACCTTCTTACCTTAGTTTCACTTTTTATTGCTACTATAATCCTAACAATAACGACATTTTATTTTCTAAGGATGTCTAGTTTGACCAGTTTCTACTTCAGAAAACGCCACATCTTTTGTTCTGGGTTCGGCACGCCTACTAGTGCTGAAACAAATTCTGGAAAACATTGCTTATTATCCAAAAAACGCCTGTAGAGAGGTATTCCATACGAATTAGTTAGCGGTGAAAAGTAGTGCCTCGAAATCCTTGCAAAATTAGCAAATTCATCGGGAGGGAATTAACAACTGCGTAAGAGATCTTCAGGCAAGTAAATGATGGATTTTGAAAACCTAATCGTTTTCTCCGTTTACCATGTTAATTGAAAAACTACGTTTGACAGTTACAGGCACTTTAACACTTGTTATTCCATCTGCGTCTTTAGATTACGCGGTTTGATATTGAAGGAAACCTGAAGCTTTCGTATCTCCCTCTTAAAAGAAGTCATTTAAAAAACCAACCAGATTTCTTAGTAGGCGACTCAGTAAACACCGGAATAAGAAAGTTAAAACTAATATAAAGATGTTACAAAATTTATGACTACGACTTCCCAGTCGATCAGATCGTTTTTAACGCTTCATATTATTTGGAAAAAAAATAAAATTTTCGGAATTGAAAGAAATTTTTTTAGTATATCACCTTCAGTGTAGAAATTAAACAACGACTCTCCGAAAATGATGTGCGAACTTCGCTGTGACGTCATCGTTCACACTGGAGTGAGCGAGTGACATGTTCGCCTGTAGAGACACTAATATAACTAAAATTCCAGGCTGCGCCCATCCAACGAATCAGAAAACTATGAAAAAGGAATGTAGAAGTTCTTAGACTGTCGGTATCGAATTCACAGTATAGCGTATATGTCCTTCTATGGTTTATGAGGACTTCCACTGCCTCTTTGATGAAATTCCACCTTAGTTTTTTCCCTAAAGGAAATTACAACAAAGAAAAGACCCGTTAAAAACCCCCTTATAAACATACAAACCCATTACATATTTAATATCTCAAAATAACAAGGAGGTTGCCTTTAAAAGAAGTATCTGTAAAGTAATCAACAGAAAACGATTGTGTTTTAACACACGCCACTTAGGCATCTTTATTCCGTGTACTCGTCTGCATTATCCAGATCGCCTCAGTTTCCAGTTCTATCCACACTATCCTCGTCGTCCCGATTCATATAGGTCGTTAGAAATAGTTTGGACTATCTTCCATATAATCTCTTCGATCACCCGCGGATAACTTGGAACACTCGGGGCGAACTCGGGAAACTTACGGAAACCAAGTCTAGGGCAACAACTGTGATTATTTCACGTTGCTTTTTTGCAGAGGGCAGCTTTTAACCCTTTAACTCTCAAGAGTGACCGAGACAGAATTTCAATATCAATACAATGTCAAGAAGACAAGTGATAAGAATAAAGATTTATATCAGTCGGGCAATTGTTGGTTGATTCAAAACCAAATTCTCCTAACAAACATCATGAGAACTGTATGGCGGACAGTAAGGAGAATTACTTTTGAGATCTGGGAGTGAAAGGGTGAAAGGAACGGGCACAACTAAGTTTCTGCTCATTAATGATTTTGTTTTATCACACTTGTTCCCGTTGCCGTCCTGGTTAGTGTCAAGTCCCTCCACTTGCACTCGAGGAAATTTTTGTCTCCCGATTAGCACTCACCTCAGACTGTAGTTTAGTTGCGTCAGCAGGACCTTTCCTTTCTTCACTCCTTCTCAACATGCCTTGCAACTGTGCAATCAGGTCCTTTAGATCGCTACAGTCCCCCAGTCTCTCCGATGTAAGCTGAGGGGCATGGGGCTGACAGGGTTTCTTCGAATTCTCAAAAGTGAGTAGATACCGCTGGATCAAACGCCTCAGTATCACGCGACGCTTGATTAACAAAACCAGAAAATACGTTATTCGGTTTATATTCGTTCAAAGCCTTTATAGCTGCGTTATAAATAATACGCGATTCATTTGAACATATTATCGAGGTGTGGAGAGTCTTTGATCCAAACCGTCCACCATGGAAATGGGTAACCGGTCGTTTTCACCTACGAGTGGTTTCGCTAACGACCATGCCACTTAAGTCTTGGTTCGTTTCGCCAACGAAAGTAATGAACCCCTCCCACAAGATATTCGAGAATCCAGTCGTTTCCAAACTCCAAGATTACCTCATTAAACGAAAATTCGCTACAAGCCTTGTTAACCGTCGTACTCAAGCCTCTATTACCTTCATACATTTTTCTTCGTGGTATATTTTTTTTATCACAGGGTTTAGGGGAATACCTTCTCATCAAAATTCATTGTTGGCACATCGATATCGAGGCTAGTGGCTAAATTATTCCTTGGAACGAAAATAAGTATAGGGTGTACCAAGTTGCATAATGTACACATACCCTCTGTATGTCTACTCTATCTTTCAATCGTGTCACTGATCTTTCTCTCCTGGTGCAGCATCCACGCTAAACAAAAGAGGGAAAAAGTAAGTAGCAAACAAAGTAAGAGTCTTCATCATTCTGCTAACTGTATGCAATAATGATCCTGTGGAACGTGCTGTGCACGACTACATTATCACGAATAACTGGAAAATGACAATATAAAATCTTCAAGCCTCTCCACGTACCAGAAACGAAGACGGATCAGCGCAAAACCTCCTACAGAGACGGATTACCAAGTAAGGAGGAGGAATGAGGTTGAATGGCGACGGCATAACGTCACCTTCATCCAGAAATGACATCCACATTCGAGTTCTCGAGAACTTCCACTGAATATCTTCATCATCCTTAAAAAACAGTTGTAAAATGTTATTAAGAGGTCTCCGGAAAGTTATTAGCAAAAACGCTGTTGAAAGTTATCATATTCCGTGAGAAGCGCATCAAAGCGCGGTGAGTCTTGGCTTAATCGCAGCGATGAATCGCGATATTTTGATCCAAAATTTTTGAAGTTATACCTTCAGTACTACAAAAATTATACTTCTACTGGTTTATCTTACCACGACCCTCTGAAACGAGTTCGACATCATGGCAATCAGCATGTTTAGGGCGACCAAAATGGAGATGATAGTGTATAATGCCAGAAGTACTTCCCCTGTGTATTGACTGATAATGAACCTCTTGTCTGTGCTCAGGTCCGAGAGACTTGACTTTCCAAACAAATCCCAGAATAGGAACCTCAAACTCCCTCCGAATCTGTAAAAATTAAACCAGTGAACAACAGTGTAAAATGACACTTTTTCCCTTCCTTTTTTTTTACCGCACTATAATTCAAATTTCAACACGATCGCTACAATGGCAAGAAATATATAGAAACTAAAACTGAGCTATTTCTCGTTGCCTTTTAAAAACTGTTGCATATCATGAACAAATCATCAGTTTATTGACAATTTTATAGTATCCCTAAAGAACTAATACTTAATGCGACTCATAAGAGTTTTCCAACCGAAAGAAGTACGGAAAGACATACGCGCGTCGCCGTGCTAACGAGTAGGAACGCGCAAGAAACAAATATATAGGCTCCAGGTATTTTTAACTGGCGTAGTATAACAGCGAGAAGTCGTGATAGTAAAACCAGGCTTTAAGTTGCGTCTCCACATACAAATTTCCTCGGGGACCAATCATTAGTTATCGTCTGGGAGGGGACGGAGGATTTGATTTTTTTAAGGTGGGGATGGGCAGGGGGGGGGTCACATGGTTTTCAGGGGAAACAGGTGGGAATCAGTCGTCGCTATCAGGGAATTGTCAACTTTCTTTCATTGGTAATGTTGAGTGCGGTAATTCTTAAAATCAGTGACCTTGGGTGAGGTAAATGTAGCATGACGTATTGTTATCCTCTACCAATCAGGGCACGAGTATCTCCATTGTCACCTGGGTAAACATACTTAACACATATGAATATCTAGTGCTTACTTGGAAAATTTGTGTTCGGTTGCATTCCGCATAAACTTTTCCCTTGTTTCTACATACTGGGAGTAAACCTTCCGCTCAGCCCAACCGAATGCAAGGAACAATAGCAAAAACAGGAACAGAAACTTGACGATGTCTCGCATCATTTTGACCAAGCACAGCTGCAGAGGCCCGAGAATGGAGCTTACTTGAAAAAAATTAGAAGCATGAACGAAGCTCAACACCAGACCGATGGAAAATGCAGCATTGGACAAAAGGAGAAGATTATATGCGTACACTTTGGCTTTGTCGCCAAATACCTCGCCAATGGGTATTACCGAGCCTCCAAATTCTTGCTCTGTCATGAAAAACCCAGCAAGCCAAAGGAATCCTGATAACACGAAGAGCCCTAACATGAACAATGTGACGAGGTTCCAGTATTGTGAGAGATAACGCTCTTTTCCCTGGCGAAATGCTTCCTTTCCCTCTTGGAACAACAAACCGGCGATCCACAGCGATATGAGCGAATCTGATCGAGAAGAACAACAACATACTGGTCAATGAGGAAGTTAGCTTTCCTTTTTCGCCCCAAGTGATATGCCACTCAATAAAACTCATCTCCAACAGCCCTTCGATACAACGTTCAGTAACGTTACTTTAATTATAATGGATGAAATGAATAGACCATTACGAGACGCAAATCGCTAATAATTCAGAATCATATCACGGTGTGAATGACCTCTCAAAAAATAGAGCAAGCAAACCGTCTAAAGCGCGGACGAACGTGAGTCACTAAGCCGCTATTCATTTTAGTTTTATATCCGATTAAGTTTTCTGAATCAAACACTCAGAGGCGAAGCAAAACCAAAGCCATCCGAAGTAACGTTTGACAATTGACTGGGAATTGCCCTACCCCCCCCCCCCCCCGGAATTGCCTATATATTTAATTTCCGTCCATTTACCCGCGCGGCAGATTACCCGCGTCGGTCAATCTTTGCAATAACGAGAAAAAAATTTCAACAGATTACCCACACCCAAATACAAAAGGAAATCGTCGACTCGCACAAATTTACTTCATTGTTTTTGTGGACATGATATCCTTTAGCGTGCAATTAATAAATTTCACACTTTGTCTTCGCTGATTCTTTGAGAATGATATTACTGTTCTCAAAAAAAGCGATATCTCGAGATCTACTGAGTCGGAGAAATCGTTTGAAACGGGAAAGTACTCTTTAACTCAAGGCAAGGCTAGGTAAGAAAATTTCACTGAGTGGTCGAATATTCTGTCGCGCCATTACACTTAATTTGTGCGGCGCCACGAAATGAACATGTCGGCATCATTTTCCGTGTGAATTGCTCTGAAGCCAGCTTTTTCACGACTAAATTCTTTTATTTTCAAGTTCACTTCCACTTAAGAAAGAAACAAGCTGTGAAATTAACTAGGTAAGAAAGTAAGAGTACAAACAAGATAAAAGCTTTTTATCGAGTTTTGCAGGTAGGTTTCCGATTTGTATCGGCTTTCATCGAGAGCATTAAAGTCTCTCATAATAACGAGCAATCTGCGCGAAATAAATGAGTTATTACACAGGTTTTTTGAAGAGTATCTTTAGTGGATCTTATCATCTAATTTTTTTTCCTGCTTAAAGTTTAAAACTATACCGGAAGTTTTAAAATCATCGTGTTACCCGCACCTTCCTATAGTACCCGCGCCAAGAACTGTTTGTGGAAAAATTAACAGTTTACCCGCATGTAATCGGCCGGGAATTACGGTAGCTATACCACTGAGATACGCATCAATTGGTTGGGTAACAATTTATAAGAGCAAATGAATAACAAACGTTTAAAAAATCTTGATAACTACCTACCAATGAATGAAAACTTAAGCACATCAAACAACTTGTCCTGGATCGACGAAAATATGAGCAGGATAAGAAAGCAGCAGAACGACCCCGCGTGACTTACAAACTTGAAGAATGGTTTCCTCAGCATTTTGCTGACTTGAGAGTTAGGCGCCAGGAAATAAAATACAGCGAACACCGGCAGCAGTAATGTTAAAAACATACTGCACATCACTTTCTTTAGGAAGCCAAAATCTTCCCATCCTCCTAATCTGTCGTACAGCACCGAGTTGAGCATAAGCTGGCTGTAAGGGTGAGCAACAAACTAGAGGAAAAAAGATGTTATGTGTAGATTTAAACCCATCGGCATGTAGTTGACTATGTCTTGATGAAAACAACTTTGAAACACGAAGTTTTGTACAACGATGGCGTTTCCTTAACTTTAATTTAACATTTGAGAGTATTTTGCGGGTGTTTCAGAATAATTAACAAACTTAGTTGTAGATGGTACCATACCAAAACTGTATCTCATAAGAAATTGATCATAAACACTTTTTTCTCAAGCGCTGTAAAAACGGTGGACATTGACGCTGTTATGGAATGACCATGTTGCCAGAGATATGCGTGACCATTAATTACACTAAACATAAATTGACTCTTGTAATTAACTTCTACTATTTTGTTCCAAATTCTGTTCATTAAAGAAGCCTTGTCCCTGTTTGTACCCGATGCAAAGTTTAACTGAAATTTTGAAACAGTCATTTGACGGAATGCGATTCCAAACTCAATTTCACTGATTTTTCCCTCCTGATCACCACAACAACTACTTCTTACGCAGTAACGCATGATAGTATGTTATAGGGGGTACCTTTTCATTACCATTAGCAATGGCAAAATTCAGCACGCTGAGCTTTTGGGCTTCTGGTCCTCCCCTGACTTCGACATGCTGTACTTGATCAATACCTGGTACCTCCATTACACAGCTTATTTCTTCCATCGTGCGGCATTTGGCGAGAAGTGCCACTGCAAATTCTTCGCAGTTGTTAGACAACTGTTTGTAGTCCGCTTTGAATTCGTACTCTGTATCCACGAGATTCTCCAACTTCCGATTCAAAAGGAAAGCTCGAACGATCGGATCTTTGGACGAAGTTAAGTCTTGTTCTTCGACCAGCTGCTCGCTGTATTTGTCGAGTAAATACGACATGCACATGTATACAGGACTAGTTAGCGCTCGATAACTCTGCAAACGGTAAAGAGAAGTCCCCAATCGCTTTCCCAAGCGCATGCATTCATCGCATTCACAGGATCTATCATGGAATGCTGGTTCTTCAATGGTGAAACCCTTCGACAAGAAAAGCTTCACAATCTCCTGGTTGTCATTGTGGGCAGCCAACATCAAAGGGGAAACGAATCTACTATACTGAACCTGGCTCGTCTGCTGTTCGGAAGACACATTGCTCGAACTGGTTGGTCGACTCTCCGAGTCCTCCACGAAATCGAGCAACGCTCTCACCCACTCGACCGAATCTTTCGCAACAGCTTGTAGCAAGGCATTCCCCACTTCAGCTCCATTCTCAAGAAGAAACTTGGCGATATTGTGGTGGTCGTTGTTTACTGCTAGCTGCAAAGCTGTTTCTCCAGACAAATTCGTGCAGTTCACATCGACATGTTTCTCCAGCACGTACAAACGAACACCATGTGCGTCGCCACCACGTGCTGCATCAAGAAATTTGCTCTGCTCCTCGCCGAGTGTTATGTCTCCAACACGTGAATCAGTAAAATCTTCGAGGGTTATTGCAGCAAAGTGGGGTTTAGAACTTGCCATCATACTCGACGACTAAGGATATTTGGCAGAGTGTCGATAAATCATGCATGATTTGTTCACGTGAATTATTCACGCGTTTACATTGGTTCAACCAATGTTCCCTATGATTTATTGTAGAACAGACGAATTGACGACGTCACCGTTGAAATTTTTTTTAGCTTTTTATCTGCAGCGTTAAAATTTGATGAATTTTGCAACCGGAAATTTGATAATCTATTTAGCACCGGTTATGTAGAACGCCCGAGGTATACGTTTATTATTCTGCGGAGTTGGATGATTACCGTCATCCTAGATTTCTCCGTGACTCAAGCTAAGTCACAAAGTCACTTATTCCTTTTCTGTTGACTTTGCCGCGGTCCTTACGTTAGTTCCCGCATTTCATCAACCACTTTAGTATTTCCAATTTGTCATGGCATCAACTTGTTCCAAAGTCTTAATCTGCATAACTCTCCATGTTAAGTAAAGAATGAAAAGCCATGAAAAGCACCCGACAACGATTTTGCTAAAAACCGCAAGGCCTTCAATTCTTTCCCTCTGAACCGCAAATCCGGCCAGAATGTAGGCTCCGTGTAGACTCTTGTTTATCATATAAAACAAATACACTCTATGTTGCTATGCGTCTGGGCAGTGATAGATCACGGTAGACTTGGTAAGAACATCAGTCACACACTCGGCTGCATCTCTTGTAAGTGACGCTTGGCTGCACCTCGTGTGTCACTTTGTTATTCTTACCACATTTTGACGTCATCTGCTATCTATTTTCTGAACGGACGCACGACAACATGGAATCTTGTTAAGGTTACTTCCCACCTTCGCGGGTGTGCTTCGGGGAAACATTCGTACGCGCGCTAGTTTCCCTAAAATCCTAGCAAACTATATATCAGAAGAAAGCTTAATAAATGCAGTTTACAATGAAAATATGATTGAGGTGACTTTTCCTTTAAGGATGAGTCAGGAGCCGGTAAGGCGCGAAACGACCGAAGGTTCCTGTATTGAATTTATCGGGTATTGGATGCTGCAGCACGAGCAAAATGGCTGCACACTGTCCTTTACAAGGCATCAGTCAGGCTTTTTCGATATTCCGATTGGTTGAGTAGATATGGGCATCTAAAAGTTAGAATAGCTGAAAATATGCGAGCCGTCTTATGTAAATCGATGCTGTGGGACAAATATTTCAAATATCAAAATTTCCCGACAAATTTTCGTTTGTCATTATTCTTAAGATGTTTCGGCGAAATTTGACGAGAATCGGTCAAATCTATATACCCTATAAATTCGCTCAAAGTGGCTGTATTCCTCCCAAAATGCCAATGTCCCAATGGGACAAGAGAACTTCCTGGCGTCTATGACGATGGATCAAGATTTCTCGCGAGAAGTAACCCATTACAGCCACGTATTTTTTTTTTATCTCGATCACTCAGTGGAGCGTTGAGGAGGACGACACAACAACGACCTTCAGGTATGGAAAATTTTGGTTTGACAGCGACTTCTTAGCTCAAAATCTGGACGCCAGCGTGGAGCTCCGCCAGTACCAGTTACTTTCACAAAGGAATTTATTTCTTTTCTTGACGGACTGGTACCCTGTCTTTCTTCTTATAGCCTGTTTTCTTTTTCTTCCGGTTTTGATTTTTCTACGAGCAAAGATTTTTCCATAAACAAAGAACTTCCACGGGGTAATTTTGTAAAGTGCGCGATGTAAACAAAATATGGAAAAAACGGTTGTTCAAAGGGAGATTACTCGGTCGATTTACTAATCCGCGATTAAGCATAAAATGAATTACATTAATTAATTATAATTTATTTTGTGCCAGTTTACGTCATAAAATTGCCGGAAATTTATTTTTGTCAATATGGCTTCTCCAGGAAAGTGAAAATCGAGCCCCAACAGGAGCGGTTGACGCGAAAATTCCCCAGGGGATTCACCCTGGTCTGACACCTTCCTCATTTATTAACTTTTATTTGAAAATACGTTTTTCTAAATAACTCGGGTGCTTTTAAAGATTTCAGATACTTTATTATGGAAATGTTTGGTTGAATGTTTGAATTCAGTTTAGTCAAATAAAAGAAAAATCGATTTTTGCGGCCTCTGAAGGTGGGAAGTAACCTTAACTCCTTTACTCCCGAGATCTCATTAGTAATTCTTCCTACTGTCTGACAGACAGTTCTTGTGATGTTAGTTTGGAGAATTTGGTATTGGATCCACTAATAATCCCCTGATGATATTGTAAGGAGAAATTCTATCTTGGTCAAGTGCTGATAAAGGTAACGAGTCTGGCGTGATGGCAAGCTATCATAGGTGAACCTAGACCCGGTTTTGTACAGCACCACCAAAAACCAAAAACCAAAATTGGTGAAAACTGAAATCCTCCCCAAAAATGGACCGTTTGAATTACGCACATGTGGGCCAGGCCTAACATGTCTTTTTTTCAAAGTTTACAGTTCTTTTCCACTGTCACTCATTTCGCAGCAACAATTTTATCTCTATTTCTATAATGATTCGGTACTTATCTGCTTTTTAATTCATTCATCTATCTGTTCATTTATCATTAATTTAAAGTTTATCCACGGTGGGTCACGTAAAAAGACGAAAGACCATGCGCATATAAAACCCCTAATTCTTTAATTCCTAAATACAATAAGTAGTAAAAAATAAGTCATCCTCAAAAAAGTTACACAACTAGAAATCTACTTAACATTTGCTTTGAGAAAATGCAATAAGAGTGGATGTGAAAAAATTTCATTTCGCTAAAATCTGACAAGCCACTAGGGTCATGCGGAAAGCGTCTTCTTTCTTTCTCAACCTGTCTACTGAAAGTTTTGGTTCAGAAAAATCGTGTTCTGTCAGCAAAACACCTGTCATCATACAAATGTCTTCTAACCTATACATGTAAACAAAAAAAATAAAGTGGAGAAACAAAGAAAATGTAACAGAAATGCTGATCTTAATTAAAGCTGATCCTTTCTCTAAAGTATTTCACGTATTCTTTCTAACTATCACTAAAAGTGAATTTTATGATTAAAAAAGACTGAAAGATAAAGGCGAGTTAGGAAGAATAATGACTTCACCATATGAATCTAATTGGAAATCTCCGTTGTTCTGAAACTACAATCCACATGGAGTTGATTTCTCTTTGGTAACTATCAAAGATGGCATTCTAGCTTTAAATAGACGTCTCAGATCGTAATAGTTCGTAAGCAGCTTTCTACATTTGATCAAGCAGTTTTGAAGGCACACTGTAGAAATAACACGTTAAGTATAATTCTTATAATTCTAGATTCCATATTCATATTATACAGATTGGTGTAAATGTTGGCTTAAATCTCTTGATCAGGGGTGCCGTGATGATATGACCACATTATCGTCGCACGTTACGTACAAAAATTAAATTAGTAAATCTGCTCATTTTCCATAACCACTAGCTCTAATTCCATAAAATTTCACTACGTTGTCACAAAAAATCGCCTGCTTCTCTTCTTCCGTTAGATTTGAAATACTCTGCAGGTAGGCTTGAAAGGTTTGATGATAAGATGCATCTCTCGCCATCGTGCAAACTGGCCAATCAGAGCCAAACATACATCGGTTCGCTCCAAATACAGAAGTCACGTGCTAAAAAAAAAAACGGAAAGACGAAACAAACACAAATCGAAGCAAGAAATTCAAGCTGCACTGTGCAATGAATTATGTGATCAAGTATCAACCATAAATAGATAATGGTAATTAAAGCGTCGTAGCGAAATTTAAGAAGTCCAGTCCCTGGCCTTGCTAAGGCGCGGTATCCGTCTTATTCAACTCCTAGAAGCCTGGCAATTAACCGAAGTGTTGATCGTGCCCACCAAGGAATGAATGAGATGTTTCTACACGTAAGAATTAACTACTGACCTGTGCGTAAGGAATTAAGTCTTCAATTTTCCATTTTTCATGAGAAGCTTCTGTCACTAGCCCCGATCTGCAAGCGTAAGATAAAGACCTCAGTGTTCAAGTATCTCCACACTTTTAAGTTGCATTTACCGAGCAAGTAATTGTGCGTTGCCTTGTTATGATGATCTAATGTATGAGTGTTGATTGTGTTTTGAACAACTTGGTCCTGCAGATTGATAAGGTTGCAGTAGGGCCATTACTTAGTTGAGGCTGAATCTTTTGACTCAAGACTTTAAACACCCTTGAACCCTAATCAAGAACCTTTCAAGGACAACTGGAGAGGAACAGTCAATGACGAGGCTAGCATGGGCAGGTATGGTAATTCAGTATTATCAACTGAGTTGATAAAATAAATTGGCCACTGTAAAGAGTGTTAAAGTTGACTCGCTCTAACGAAGGGCAAACGCTCAAACGTCAGCTTTTATATTATTTACGGTGGCCAATCTACGTTATTAACACAGTTGATAAGACTAAATTACCCTGTTATACCCTCCTACCGACGCAGCGACACAGTTTCTTTCGAAACTTACCCCCTCTGGCAAGGTAGGTAGGCTACACCCGGAGGGAGATAGAGAAGCCAACCCAGTTTCCATGGACCTGGGTCCGTGAGGAGTAGCACAGTCATGTTAAACTTGACCTGGTTCGACTGCAAAGTTGTTTATTAGTTTTCAACGTAACTTCAAGCACCACCCAACAACACGAATAATGGTCAGACATTGGGATATCGCAGTAACGTAAATGAAATTGAGAAGACAGCTCTCTTGATTAAATATACTTGGTAGGAGCGCAACCTATAACCACTTACAAGCTTTACTTACATTTTGCAAAAAACGTTCGGATTTTGAGACAAAATTTGCATTCCCTTTTTCCAGGCATCTATCTTGCCTTCTTTAATTTCTGGTTTTGCAGCGTGGTCAACAACAAACTTCAGGCTAAAATTAAAAAAAAAGAAAAGAAAACTTAAAAGTGAATGCTGTTCCACAAAATCTGTTAGTAAACCCTCCTGTGTGTACTTCCTCTCACTAAAAGGTCAATCTACCGATAAAAAAGACTTTTAGAAGAAGGTTTTCATTGGCAGTATTAACCATGAAGTTGAACTGACATTTTAGTTTAATCATATTCAGTTATTTTCTGTTACAATTAAAGTTTTCAAGTT